AGCGTTTAATGAGTGAACGTATAGTGAGATCGCAATCAAAACACTTTTAGCACTCATTGATGACATGATTTGCGATTTTATAATCAAATTAATTAATTGTTTTGTTCACACTATTAATTACTTGTTAGAAAAGTACATTAGCAATTTATAATAAGTTTAAAAAAATAAATATTTACAATATTTGTTTTATATTAACATGTAATAGTTATGTAATATCTGTTTACAATCAGTTTAGTGTCTAAAAATTTAATTTTAATTTAAAATTAAAAATAGATTAGCGCGTAGAATAGCTAAGCGTTGCCATCTAGAATTATTGTATAAAGCTTGTTAAATAACATATCATTATATAATTTAATAATGTATGGGATTCTGGAATTTATAATAAATAAGTTACATTCAAAAAATCAATGATTTAAAAATTAAATATTTATAGTGCTAAATAATATCTGATAGGAGTATCAAATAATTTCTAAATTTTCATTATATAATATTCTGTGTATTTCATAAAAATTTTCAATGTATGGCTTGAAATAGTTTTGAGCGTGGTCATTTTTAAACTGACGAACTCGAACGCTCAGGTGGTTGACGGCCCGGTAGGGTAGGGTCAGGTCCTTAACGATTGATAGGTAGGCGCTGTACTCGACCGACTCGTACGGGTTGACCGTAATCTCGCGCGTCAATTTGAACACGTGCTCAGCGCTGGTAGTCGTGGTGCCGGTGCGCTCCGTGTAGTTCGTATACTGGGAATAAATACCATGCTCAAAGTTGGCCCTTATGTCGGCGCTAAAAAGGTTCCACATTATGCCGCCCACTTGCCCGCCCACCTGAGTGGTCGTGTTTTTGCCACTCATTTGCCGGTATTTGTTGGCAAATGTGAGTTGACTTTCCGATCGAAACGCCTTTTCCTGGCTGATTGACTCCCGTATGACAGAGTTGGACGGATTGGTTATGTTGGACACCTGTAGGACGTCTACTCGGGCCTCCGATTTTCGTAGCGCCTCCTAAAGTATGGTTTTATTAATATTCTGTGTATTTTATTAATGAAATAGTCTCTCTCTCTCTCTCTAATTTAGAAAAATATAATAATCAGGGTCATGCCAAGTTAGAATACAGTAGTAGGAATTAATATAATAAATAAACCAAATTTCATTCAAACCTCAATATTTGTTTCAAACGTGAATTCCTTAAGCAATGAATCCGTGGTATAATCGCTATAATTGAACATGGTTAGTCTAATAGTGCGGATGTAGTCAACCGGAGCGGTAACCATCGTATCCTCGACTGTAAACTGGATCCGCAACTCATGGGTGTGTTGTCTATGGCTTTGAGTGGAATTCCATACGAAGAACGGTCGATAACTGTCCCGGGGCTGAGTGGTGGTGGCGTTGAAGTAGATGTGGGACAGGCGTTCAAACACAACCAGTCCATCGGTCAGGCAGAGTCGGTCATTACGGTGAGCTGGCTCACAGGTTAGGTTGTAGTGTAGGTGCGTGTAAACGGCTGACCCTTTGCCTCTCGTGTCAGTCATCTCGTAAGACATGGGATCGAAGTTAGCGTTTGTTAAGTGACTGACACTTAAGACCACAATAAGTTTGACAATAAGTTTAGCACTAATTGTAAGCATTTTGTATGTGATTATGGTTTGAAAATACACTTTATGACAGATTTCTTTCAGATTAAATAGTATTTTTTAACAAATAATTTTCATTATTAGTTGAAAAGTTGTATTAATGCTAAGAAATACGATTACAAATAAGCAGTGAAAACATAGTATTGCACTGAATTTGAATCTTGTTTATGTATAAACATCATAACAAAAGCAATAAAAATATTTTTAACATTCAGTAAAAGTATAGAAAATAGTAAAGAGTTTGAAGATGTATCACATTTCCGACCTAATAATTGCCAGAATATAGTTGGGTCACAGATCAAGGGTAAGATCTTATTGCACATCCCAGCCCTTAGTTACACAACTATCGTGTGACAGACAGTTAACGTGTAAAAGATGTCATAAATAAATGCAATTAACTTACGGTTTAGTCAAAAAGATTTTTATATTTAACAGTACTGTAACTTTTATTTTAATTATTAACATTTATTTGTTACTTAAATAATTGTATTTAATTTTTGTTGAATATTGATAAAGTTTGTTGAATTTAGTGAAAAAATTAAGATTTAATCTGGTTAAGTACAAAACTGTTTATTGAATTAAAATGCATAACTGGTGCACAAAATAATATTAATAAAATATTTAATTATAATTTTTACATTAGTTAACAAATACATTATATGCGAGTATATCCTGTATTATAAGTTTTATTATCACAATCGGTCACCAGTTTATCGGTTTCCTGTCCAAAATCATCGCACACTTCATGCGAAGTACCGGCCCCTCCCTGTGCGCTCAGCTCGTGTACCTCCTCACACGTGACCATGGTGCTATTCCCAACTTCACGGTTACGTTTAATTAAATACATATTCAACGTGACCAGTATAATAATAACGGCACCCAATATAATTATGATCGGAAAGGTAATATGCCCATAATGCCCGTAATAAGGTGTACCATGGTCAGTTTGGTGCACATTAAACACCGACTTGACACCAAACGTGCTGCCATACATGCCCTGCACCGGTATTATCGCACAATTATCCGGGCCTAGGGTTATATTAGAGATATTAGTACGTGTCCAAATGAG